AGTAGTAGTAGTAGTAGTAGTAGTAGCAGTCGTAGTAGCAGTAGCAGTAGTAGCAGTAGTAGCAGTTGTCGTAGTAATAGTAGTAGTAGTAGTAGTAGTAGTAGTAGTAGTAGTAGTAGTAGGAGTAGTGGTAGTGGTAGTGGTAGTGGTAGTGGTCGTGGTCGTGGTCGTGGTCGTGGTCGTGTTCGTGGTAGTGGCAGTGGTGGTGGTAGTGGTAGCAGCTATCCTTAGACGGTACCTCCCCCACCCACCTGGCAAAGGTCTCCGGAGGATGCCATGCGGGAGATCTGTCAGCTTTCGATGGACGACGAGACGTTTCGCTTCCACGAAGTGTTCGACGTTGGTCGGCCTGGGTTTAGGGTTTAGGGTTGGCAGTCGTCTACCCGGGCAACCCTAAGACTTACCCGACAACGCAAAAGCCTGAAACCCTGATCCCTAAATCCAAAGTACTAAACCCCAAACCCGAAATTGGATAGCATCGGGCAGAAGAGCTTGACGAGTCTGATCCAGCTCTTCAGCGATTTCGTGCCGGGACTCACATTTTGGGTTTGGGTTTAGGCAAATTTATGTCCTTCCCTTTAGGGCATATCAACCCGGAGCTTCCGGCGCCCCTCACCAGAGTGATGGATTTAGGCTTTAGGGTTGAGGGTTAAGCGGTTTAGGGTTTAGGGTTTAGGGTTTAGGGCTTAGGGTTTAGGGTTGAAGCAGTAGTTGCAGCAGCAAAGCCAACTCTTCTGCCATGTCAGTACTCAGCAACAAGGCCCTTGGAATTGTGAGCCCTAAGACCCAACCCTAAACCCTAAACCCTAAACCCTAAACCCTAAACCCTAAACCCTAAACCCTAAACCCCTAAGACCCAAAATCGCCCGTTAGGCCCTTGAGGGCCTTTAGGCCCCGTAGGCCCTAACCCCTCAACGCCTAAACCCCTACAACCTAAGCCCTAAACTCCAAACCCTAAACCCTAAACCCTAAACCCTAAACCCTAAACCCTAAACCCTAAACCCTAAACCCTAAACACCGAACCCTAAGGGCCTGATCCCGAAACCCTAAACCCTGAACCCCAAACCCTGAACCCGAGGGGCCTGAGCTCTTCAAGCTCTGCAGGTCACCTCCGCAGCGAGCTTCGTGATCCTGGGTTCTGGAGTACCATCCTTTCTTTAATGCTTTTTTTTTGGGGGGGGACCTGTTCCTTAAAGGGTTCCCTCATGCTTTTTTCACTTAAACCCTAAACCCTAAACCCCAAACCCCAAACCCCAAACCCTTAAACCTAAAACCCTAAAACCCCTAAACCCCTAAACCCAAAGCCCTAAGCCCTTTTTTTTTTTGGCTCTCCCTGCTTCTAAGCCCAGGATCTGGGTGTGCAGAAGACTGCCAGCTTCGAGAGCCTCTTGGCCAGCACCCACAAAAAAGGATGCCCTTCTTCGATCGGGTTTAGGGTTTAGGGGTTAGGGGTTGGGGGTAGGGGTTTGGGGTTTGGGTTTAGGGTTTCGGGCTTGAGGGTTTAGGAAAGTTTAGGGTTTAGGGTTCAGGGTTTGTGTAGGGTTTAGGGTGTTGGGGATACACGCAGTTCTTCATAACTGATAGGGTGTATAGTAGGCTTATAAGCTACAAGGGTTATAGTCGGGTTTCTAAGTTTTGAGGGTTGTGGCATGTTCTACAAACAAGCCGTGAAGGAATAATTCTTGGACCCGTGTCAACCCCAAGACGTTAGCCTTAAGCCGCAAGCTCTTTCAACCAAAACCATAAACCTAGTAGTAGATTAGGCAACCTTTAACCTTTTTGGAGTACCCGAATCCCAATATGGGTAGTTCTCTAAAATAGGGTCCCCGTTTAGACCCCCGCCATAGTACGGCACCCTTATGAAAAGGGACCCCCAAAGGGACCCTAATTTAGAGAACTACCCATATAATCCCAGAAGTCAGCCTGGGGTTCCCCATGATACTGGGCAAGACACCTTTCCAGCCCTGCAGTGCTAGAAGACCAACGCCCAATCGCTAACCTTGAACCAAGTAACTAAGCCGCCCTTAACCCTCAACCCTAAACCCAAAACCCTAAACTAAGTAACCAAGCAGCCCTTAACCCTAAACCCTAAACCTAGTAACTAAGCCCCTCAACCCCCAAACCTGCATAAAATCCCAACCACCAAGCCTAAACCCTAAACCCTA